TATTTGATTATTGATTAAGATGGTGTTTAAATATCAGAAGCGTTTGTATATTTTTCCTAAAATATGCATTTTTATGAACAATTAAATAAAAATGTTGGTTGAAATTTAAGTGATTATTGCATTTTAGTACATCAAATTTTCGTATCGACCATGCCAGGCGCCAACTATAGTCCTTTCGCTGCACCTGTGAATTGTTTTGGATATTGTTTTAAAGGATTATATTTTAGGATGAAAATTTTAAAATTATTGAATTTATAATTAAATTAAAATATGAATGTTGAATGATGATCATTATTCATTAATTTTGTAAATGTGTAGAGATATAAATGTTCCTCTTTTTTTTTTATTGACAGGCTTTAACAATCTCGATATGTCAATCGTCGATAGACGATAATGATTTATAAATTATAAGTAAATAACAATAAAACAATAAGTAGTTGTTGCATACCAAACTGAACCTATCAAACTAGTCCAGAAGTTTATAAATAGTAAAATCTTCAATATTTCATGAGTATACGGTTTATATTTACCTATTTCTAGCTTTTTTTAAGGAGGGAATAATTTGGAAAACTTTCTGTTTATAATAATACGTACGCGTAAAATATAATTAAAAATTGTTGAATTTCAAGGGGCTTAAGAACTTTAGGTACTGTTTACAATACTAGTGACGCTGAAGCCTATGTTAAGGTAGGGCCATAGACCTATGGGTAGAGCAGCCGCCTGACCTTTGAAAGTGGATGGGTGGGTCGTTGGTGGTTAGGGTGGTTGTGGATGGGGTAAGGATACTAGGATATGATTGTGATGAATAAAAATAATTTATGTAAGGAGAAATCAAATATAAATATTCCGGAATATCAAAAACCTATGCGAATATTCGATTTAGTTAAGTGTGTCTGGCCCTAAATGTTTGTCTTGTGTTATTCATAAAACATTAAAATCATTATATAAATTCTATTTTTTTTTTTTTTTAGAAATTTACTTTAAAATTTAATTGGTAAAATTGAATCAACAGCAGATAATTGTGACTCAATAGATAAATGTCAAGGTAATAATTTAACAACAAAAATTGATTCAGTAGATTCCAATAGTATTTATTTGGCTTCAAATTCATTTCAAGTTCTGGTAAGTAGGTACATCTAATCTTCATTTAGGAAAGTATGTTGATCAGGACTGTTTAAACAAAGAGTACCTACCTAGGTACATTCATTTTTGATATTTTTCAAAAAATTTTACCTCATTTGAAGAAAATATTAATCTGCCCAAATATTTGCACGGAAAATACCTCATAGAAAGAGAAGTAGAACAATTTTCATCAGAACCAGATAATGAAATTGAAATGGAACCTAGAAAAGCATTTAATGTAGGGAGTATGAAAGCACTGTATCAAATTTTCCATGCTGGTAACTTGGGTTCAGTGTTTCCAACTCTTAAAATGCCCTTCAAATTGCTTTGACTCTTCCTGATTCAAGTGCTTCTACAGAACGGGCATTTTCAAAGCTCAAAATAATTAAAACTCGTTTAAGAACTACCGTGAATAACACACGTTTAGAAGATTTGATGTTAATCACATGTGAACAAGACATATACAAAAATTCAAACAAAGCTTTAGAAATCTTTGCACCAAACAGTACTGAACTATGTAAAATTATAATTTAAATAAAATGTTATAATTGCCTAATGGTTTTTTTTATTTATATATTTTTTTCATAGTCGATGCACAACTATAGTGCAAAAATGTAATTTACTAAATTAAATTAGTACATTAAACAATAGGAATACAATTTAGCGACATTTTATCAGTAGGTACTAGGTATAACAAAAGTATAAGGGGTAGGTCACCTAAAATTATTTGAGCAACACCAATTTTTTTTTGGATACACGCCACTGGTCTGGGTGAGGTGGTTATTAATTTTTATATTTTGCCCTACCTATGAAAATTTAGTTCGACGCCATTGCAGTATAATTCTATTTACAAAAATTATTATTAATATTCAGATATTCATATTCTATATGCGTTCCTAATGAGTAAAAATAACTCTACAACCGTCGCGTCGAGCTGCTGTATATATATACTATATATATATATAGTTGCTTTAATGTATTTTATGCATTACGCCTATGGGCTTCAGTACTTATTTACGAAGATCATTCGCAATAAACGATTATAAAAAACTTACAAAAATATTGATTCTTCAATTGAAGAAAATTCTATTTGAAACGCTATAACACAGTCTTCGCCGCTCTGAACTGAATGTAGATATAGGTACCTACTGATTTTTATGAAATTATTCATTTACCCAAACAGAATACATCAATAATTGTCTGTTTCTAAAGCTTTATACTTTTACAGGTATATTATTATGTTAGTGATTATAAATACTTATAATAAGGTTTAAAGATTTTAGAAATGTACCGCGTTCGTCGATGACATAGCTATATTATGGTACCTACCTACCATTTTGTCCTATTCTCAAAAACTAAAAATTTTAATCATTTTAAGTTCTACTTGACATACTTGTAGGGGTTTTACTCTTAYAACCGTCAACTGTTGTTATGGGTGCCAGTACACTACAACAGTGTAAAAAAATCTTACATATTTTTTTGTAACGCAAAAAAACCGTAAGGACTTGAAATCTTTTTCCTCTACATCTGTATAGGTATTTTAATAAGTTTATCCATGAATATAATACGAGTATTATCGTAATAATCTGGTTTATAAATACAAGGCATTTATTATACGTTATATTGACGAAGCAACTTGGAATTTGGATGGGAGTAGTATGGGGGTATTATAATATGGCCCTTGTGGTCTGTGGGGTTACAGCTACAACTACTATGACCCCAGTTCAGTAAATCAGGCTATACCATCTTTGACAACTGCACAAYTGACAACCACTCCATTTAAATAAAGGTTGGAAACAAGCTGACAAAACAGCTTCATTTACTTCAGGCAAAAATGTAATAACTCCTATGTAAACATCTCATTGTCAATCATAATAATATATGAAAATAATAATCGATCAATATTTTTTTGTATGTAGTATGTGTTATTTTTTAAATTTCACAAAATAATAAAATTAAAAGTTAACGTTTTTAGAAAAAATAACATGTATTTCAACTACACTTCAATGAAGTTAGTGAGCCATCCCTAACAACAACAAAAACTATATTTGTTCCTGCTACGAGATGAAGGATGCTGTCATGTGTTGGGTCTAGAATTAATTTGAAAAAAACTGTTACTTTAATTTGGCTAGTATCTGATTTAACATATTATGAATAGATTTTTTTTCATAATATTGGAGGATCAGCTGGTCAATAAAATATTATCGAACAAAAATTATTTTAACTARCCAAAATTGTAAATAAGATCAAAAATTTGATTTAGAAATTGCCAGAATAAATTATATTTTCTTTTGTATGTAAGAAAAATGATAATAAATTTGGACATACTAACATTTACTACCTAATTAGATATCATATTAATGTATTATCATTTATCTGAAATGAGCTAGTGTGTTTTATATCATGATAAACACTACTATAATTTATTTATATATATTTTTTAGATTATCTTTTGATGTAACCAAATGAGCGTATTATATTTTGTAACATTCAAATCAACTATTATCCTGCAAAACAATAATACTTATATAGTAATATGTATTAAAAAATAACTTTTTTTCAGATAAAATTAAAAATTACTAGCAAAAATTGAAAAACATAAAAGTAATAAAATTTGTAACATCTTGTAAATAAATACTTTTATTTAGTGAAAAAAAAGATAACAATAATTTTAAAAATTAACTTCATTATCTGAAATCATTGATAATTTTTTGGAATGTATAAAATAAATTGATGTAGTATCAAAAATATAAATTTGGAATTTGGCACAATATTAGACTATGATGTTATTGTTTTAGTGTTTGATAAAACTATTTATTGTTCAGGAATATAAAACTGTTCTGCAAAATCTTCAACTTCTTTTGTTAAGTCTTTAACACGATTAACAAACACTGGATCTGAAGTAAGAGTRGATTTGAAATTCACTAATTTTGGACCAGATACTTTTTGAGCATCCAATGCCAAGTTCAAACCTAATACATTAAAWTTCAGTTATACAAAATGTAAAAAAATAATAATAAATAATTAGTACCTTTGTGAATTAATTCGGCAACTTTAACAATGTCATTTTCTACCATTCCTCGTGTAGTGAGAGCTGGAGTACCCAAACGAATACCATAAGGATTCATTGCACTTTTGTCACCAGGAACTAATATTATAAATATTTTTAGTTTAATACATAAATTAAATATAGAAGTCTAAATTAATTACCAGTATTTTTATTACACGCGATTTCTATAGTTTGTAGTGTAAACTCTGCTTTAGAACCTGTCAAATTAATTGGTCGAAGATCAACTAACAACATATGCACATCTGTACCATCAGTAGATATTTTGTATCCAAGCTGTTTAAGGGATTCAGCTAACTGTTTACAATTGCTCAAAACTCTTTTTTGGTAGTCTTTAAACTCTTGGGTAGTTGCTAAGCGCATAGCAGCTGCTATTCCTGCAATGGCATTATTGTGAGGTCCTCCTTGAAATCCTGGGAAAACCGCAGCATTTACACGATCTTCCAAGTCATACATAACATTTTCCCCAGTCTTTGATACCGATTTAACTCCTATATTAAAAAATATTTATACATTAGTTTTTATAAAATAAATCAAGTCTATTACAACAGTTAACATTTACCTTTACGATAAAATATGACTCCAGCACGAGGACCTCTCAATGTTTTATGAGTAGTAGAAGTGACCACATCACAATATTCAAAAGGTGAGGGAATAACACCAGCAGCAACTAAACCACTAATATGTGACATATCAGCCATCAAGTATGAATCATTAGCCTGAGCTATTGTTTTAAAACGTTTATAGTCCAATGTCCGTGGGTAGGAAGTTACACCTATAAACAATTGTATAATGTAAGTGAATTATATAGATTTTTCGATTTATATTTATACAAACCAGCAATGATAATATCAGGCTTAAAATTCTTTGCAGATTTTTCCAACTCATCATAATCAATTAACCCAGTTTCCATATTTACATGATATGGTAAAGTTTCAAAAAATATTGATGCAGCAGACAATCTTTTTTTTTGAGCCATCAGACCGTGACTGATATGACCACCATCCGGTAAATCCAAGCCTAACAAAATGTATTTGAATATTAATTTATTCTCATTGCATTAATATTATGTACACCGTACAATTACTTTTAATAGATAAATAAATAATAAGCAATAACTAGCATTTGGAAATAAAAGAACTCTTTGAATTTTCTAATTTAGTTTTGTGTATTTATCACCTTGAGAAGTTATGTATCATAATAGAATAAGTATTAAAATCTTGCATAGGTACATTTTGTAAAAATTACTATTTATCTGTTGATATATTTTAACAAAATTATTCTGCATAAGCCACCATATACCACAATAGACATAATATATTTATTTATACTTGTTGCATTTAGAAGCTACTAAATAAAATTTTAAAATTGTCCGTTAATGTTAATTCATTAGCTATTGAACACTAAGGTTTTGTTTTTATTTAATTTAATACTTTAGCTGTTAAATTATAATTGAYAATGAATAAGTTAAATTAATTATTAAATTTTAAATCAAAAGTAGATTTAAAAACTGTATGTAAGCATATAAAATGTTAATTATAGTTAGTATTATAAAAATATAAATAATTATAAAATATTTACCCATTATTCGTCCTTTGCTACCTCCAATAAGAGCAGTATAAGCTTCAACATTTGCAGGTGAACCAGAATATGGTTGAACATTGACACCCCAAAGATTTGGATCCAAAGAAAATGTTTCAAGACACCTTTTTTGGCATAGAACTTCAATCTGATCAATTACTTGATTACCACCATAGTATCTGTCAAAAAATAATTATAAATTGAGTAATGATTTAAAATAAATTATATCTATTTCTAATACCTAGCACCTGGAAGACCTTCTGAATATTTGTTAGTTAAACAAGATCCTAGACATTGTAAAACAGAAACTGAGGTAAAATTTTCTGATGCAATAAGTTCAAGTCCTTTCCTTTGTCGCTGAGATTCTTGATAGACTAAAGCATACAGTTCAGGATCAGCTGTCTCCAATGGCAGACTTAAATTTGGATCTGATATTTTGGTATTATATTTAGCTTCGATTGTTGACATTGTAACAAGTCTGAAAAAAATAATTTAAACGGATAAAATCAAAAAATAATTTACTGCCAAATTATGTCATGCTCTCAAAATGTAAAAAAAAAAAAACTATACCAAGTACCAAGTTAATATTCTTTTAAATTAAAAATATTATGAAGCAAGAATAATAGTTATTTAATTTGATAGATTTACAAATTTAAACATAAATTGCCAATAAACATATACAACAATAAAATGTAAATAATTCCAAACAGCAATTCCAAATATAAAAAGGTAATTTCTTTTTAAAAACACAAGCAAAATTCTTCTTACTTGTTTTTGAAATGAAGCCGTTGAGCATTAACCAAAGTACGGAATATTGGACGTAAGTACATTTTAATTTTTTTTAAGTACCTAAGTAGGTAATTACAATTATTTTTTAAAAACTTGTGTTACTTTAATCGGAAATAAAATGTAACAAGCCAGAGTTCTTGACTCTTGTTCGATATTGTTCAAAGATCAAATCTAGTCTATCACAATATCGAAATATTATAATACGGCTGCAATATTACATTAAATGACATTCAAAGAATATTTATAATACATAATAGTTGGAGCATGCTTACCTCGATGTATCACACGTGGGGACGGCGAAAAGTACAAACCCAGAAAAAGTAACGTGTTCTAATGGGAAATCGTTCGAATTGTGTCGTAAACGACTAAAAGGTAGGTCAGAACTGATTCGTCACGACGAAATATTCGTAGAAAATAATAATTGGCAATAATAATCTTCCGGCCTCCTACTGAAGTATTATTATATCAGTGAATATTTATATGTACTATGTAGGATATAAGTTGATTAATTAAAAAGCAAATTTTTACCGATTATTCTCAATTGCCTAGATCACAACACAGTTCACGAGTTCACGACAGCCAGTTATTATAGTGAGCAGCGAGCAAGTGGTCAGCGGATAGATTACGAAGGTGATGAAACAATTTAACAATCAAACACGTTGAAACAATTATTAACATAGTGTAACAATCGCTGTCCACTGATAACAAACGGCGGCACGGTGCTTCGAAAACGTGGTATGTGCAAAAAATTATTCAATATCATTCTTTTGCGGTTGTACTGACTGTCTACTCAACTGGTTGTACCACCACCATTAGATCATATTATATACATATATATATATACCGTATGTGATCAGACCGAGGTACACCACGATCATTCAGAATGACACGGAATCTGTGCAACGATTAAAGATATTATCAGCTATATATAATACTATCAATACCCGTGATATAGCCAAGGGTACCATCAATAACCCATTTTCTACAACTAAGTACAATACGACCCTCGCCGAATTTGCGGCAAATTGTTACCTAACCTTAATCCTTAAAGCTGATAGTTGGTTGTTGTGACCACTGTACGGACTATTGGACTATGCTATCAGTTCCAACAGCCATTCGACGACTAAATYGTAATATACAATTCACGCCGAAGTGCCTTCGCTGGTTGGTTCTTCCCTCAAGATATTCAAGCTCATTAATTATAATTTAAAAAAAAAAACATAATTTATGCTTATTGTACTTTTTTTATGTACAGATTGTATAATTTCTAGATTTAAAAAAAAAAAAAATTGTAATATACAAATTAGGTACCCTGGTACCTACCTAACTACGAACTGTAATAACTGTAAATGAATTTCAATCTTAGCCTTTATAAATATTCTTTATAGTTTATAATATCAACTTCTTATTWTATGTGTCTATGAATCTATAATTCAATTTAATCTGTGAAATTATCACTAGATATAGTAGAAAACTAGTAAGCCTTTACTGGCTATAAAATATGAACTATGAAGRTTCTAATTTCGTCACGAAGCATGATAAAATAAACTATTAATTAAATTATATTTTTTTAATCGTGATTATTACCATTCACTATTTTGTATRMATAAAATTGAAATATACTTTATAAACTCATTACTCAAATCTTAGTTACTGTGATATATTGAGGTCCAATTTTTACGCCTTTGACTGCAGTCTATCGATAATCTAAACCACTCGGCTGCGCGTAAATTGCATTACTGTTAGTCGACACAGATTCCTTAACATCTGTGATATTATATATTTATTACTTTATTTACTTAGTTAAGTTGCCTAGTTAGGCTAACTACATGGGCGTACGYAGACCTTTTTAGCAAGATGGGCCAAACTAATTAAGATTTAGATATACTTAAAAAGATACTTTAAAATATTTTATCAATTCAATTTTTCATTGTACCTTGTACCTATTTAACTAATTATTATCATTGAAAATTATAATTTGTAATTGTATTATTATAGTTTCATGATTTAAGTTTATCAGGTCGMAATATGTATAATGTATAATGAATACATTACGGTTCACTGCTCAGTGCTCACAGGGCCACAGCGAAAGCCCACCTGTACCACCTCGTACGCACGCTTACTATAACTATACGCATAGACATTGAAAAAAATTTAAAGCTCGATAACAGAAGTTGCATTTAGTTTTGAACCGCTTTATTTATGACTAAAATTTGAATGGGTCTAAGTTACTTAATTTGGAATATAGAAATTGAAAAATAGGTTTATTTAAAATATTAGGTACGTTAAAAATCTTGACGAATAAATAATGTTGCTTATTAATTAAAGAATTAAAATTTAAACTGTTATTTTATACCAAAGTTATTCTTAGATTTTTTTATAGAATTTATAAATTTTTGAATTAAATATTAATACCTACCCTTTGTTTTAGTCATAAATATTTTATACTTATTACTTATAGACCAGCCCTCTTCACGTTTCCACTGTGTCAAGATAGGTGTCGCTTTTCGGTTACCGTATTACTCTGATACGGTCATGGTCACGGTAAAATACAAATACATATATATATATATTTATTAAATAGGCTGAATCGCTGCGCAACGTCAGCATGCGACTATCAATTCATGCAGGGTGTCCCGCGAGGATTTACCCATTACGATATATACCGAAATAATAGAGATTTCAAAATAATTCTGGTTTTGTAATAAGACTCACAGGGATAAGAACTATAATTATTTAATATTTTAATTTATTTTAATGTTTTGGTAAAAAAGTTAAAAAATATATTTTTTTATTTAATTATTTCCAAAAAAATTCACACAATAGCCATTTTGTAGAGTTTATTTTTCTGAAAATATTGATGTTTCAACATTTTATTTTCGCTAACTTCTTGATTTTTATTTTTTAGTTCCGAGAAAAACTGAATTATTTACTATTTTTTTCCATAATGATTATGGACATACGACATACCACATACCTATGTCATTACTCATTATTTGGAATAACACCATAGAAAGAAGTAACAAAACATCAATTGAATTATAAATACCCAAACTTTGACACAGTTAAGGTGATAAACTTATTAAATTCATCGAAATCTTATGAGTTAAGCTTTCGAGACGTATTTTTATGAAGAAAAAATAACTAATCTCATCTTTGAAATTAGCATTTACTACTCAGATGAAAAACAGA